TTCTTTGATGTACAGAAAGGACATAGGCTTGGTGAAAGGCTTTGCCACATTGTTGACATTTGTAGGGTTTCTCTCCAGAATGAATTCTTTGATGTTTAGTAAGGGAGGAATTATAATTAAAGGCTTTGCCACATTGTTGACATTTGTAGGGTTTCTCTCCAGAATGAATTCTTTTATGTCCAGAAAGCTGTGAGTACTGCTTGGTAAGTTTGTCACAGTCTTCATAGTTGTAGGGTTTTCTTCCACTATCAATACTCTCACGGTTACAATATTTTGATCTAAGGTGAAGACATTTGGCATCATTTTCACACTTGTAGAGTTTCTGTCCATTATGACATCTCTCATGCTTAGACAGGCTTGAGTCAGATTCAAAGACTTTGCTACATTCAAACCCTTTTTCTTCAATATGAATTTTCTTATGTTTAGTAACATCTGAGCATGGGTTAGAGGCTTTCCCATACTTTATACAGTGAAATGTTTCCCCTACCTTACATATCATCTTATGTCTACTTAGATTTGACAATTGTGTGAAGTCTTTCAAACATTTACTACATTGGAAGATTTTGGTATGGGCAGCCCTTAAACAGTGGTCAAATGCACTGTCACATACTTTCTGCTGTTTACACTCAGACACACTTGCCCAGTCTTTTGTTAAGTTTAAGTTGTCAGGGGCACAGCTTTGATATCTTCTCAGGATTATCTCTGTGACTAAAATATCTGTGTCAAAATTTTGCAAATGGTCTTGGTCAGGATGGTCAAATATAGCTGAAAAAAATTGAAACAAGAGTAATTTTAGCCAGTAACTTTTTTTTTTTTTATCAAAATTGAGTAAATATACATTATACTTTTTTTTTTTTTTTTTTTTTTTTTTTTTTTTTTTTTTTTTTAGAGACAGTGTCAGTTTGTTGCCCTCGGTAGAGTGCCATAACACCATAGCTCACAGCAACTTCCAACTCCTGGGCTTAGGCAATTCTCTGTCCTCAGCCTCCCATGTAGCTGGGACAAAAGGTGCCTGCCACAACACCTGGCTATTTTTTGTTGCAGTTTGGCCAGGGCCAGATTTGAACTCGCCACCCTCAGTATATGGGGCTGGTGCCCTACCCCTTAGCCACAGGCGCCACCCTACATTACACATTTTATCTACAAAAATCATGCCAAGAACATTAGGAAGATGGCATAAAACAGTACATAGGCACTAACTGTCTAAAAGGTAAATAAATATTGCATATATCCACTGCATTTTGGGGGATTCTAAGAACCAGGTGGGAATTTGCAGCACAGCAAGTGAGAAGTCATAGAGACAACATACAGCCTGGGTGTACTGGCTCATGTCTGTAATCCTAGAACTCTGGGAGACTCATGTGAATGTATCACTAAGCACAGGTGTTCAAGATTAAGCTGAGGAAGGGTTGACCCCATTTCTACCACAAACAGCAGTCAGGCATACCTGGAGTCCTAGCAATTCATGATACTGAGGCAAGAAGATCTCTTGAGCCCAGAATATTGAGCATGCTACGAGCTATGACAACACAGTACTGCACCCAGGGTGACAGAAACTCAGTTCTAAATAAATAAATAAATAGGCAGATGAATAAATTTGTGTGTGTGCATACATATAATATAAAATATAAAAAAGAAAAACCTAGTAAATATTAATAATAACAAAAAGAGACAAATAGAACAGAAAGAAGTTTGTCATATTTACCCACCACACAGTTCACCCTATCCTAACAGAGCATGGTGAAAATGGAAGTAAACTTTCAAATCCCAGCTTTGTCCTCAAAACAAAATGAGTGACACCAGTGTTAATCCTTCGTGTTTGCAGGGCCTTTCCAGAGAAAAGTTGCTGTCTCCTACGACTGAGGGTGCTGAAAGGAACGGTGCTATAGTCTATAAGAGCGACTGGAGGTACAGAAACTAAACCTAAAATATTGTTACAACAGCATAGAGACTACAAGACAACATACAGATTCAGGTCTACCAGGTGACGACAAGCTCTTAAGAGGAAATATGGAAAAATACTTCAACTAAAAAACAACCACACACTACCACAGTCTAAACGCTGTCAGAATGTAATGGTCCAATGTGTGTCAGAATCTTACAAGATAAAACCATATCACAAAGTTTGTGAAAGGTGGCTTTTCTCATCCTCAAGAATCACTCAAAGACTCTAACATGTACAAAATTTTAGGGTTATATAACACAAAGAAACAAAAGAAATAATCTGTAATCAACCATAAAATATAAAGATGTCAAAATTACCTTAATGTTATCTGAATAATGCTAAATGGGTCCAATGGGAATGATACGGACAACTAAATAATATCACAAAAATGAAGATATCGAAGAAAATGAAAGCATAAATAAACCAATTCTGAAGTAGACAAACACAATGAAAATGACTGAGCAGTCTCAAATGTAAGGAAAAAGACGTAAAATACCACGAAGATCACCATACTCTAGCTAGGAGAAACACAAAGATTCCCATAAGAAGACGAATGAAGATCAAGGATTGAAAGTCACACACAAGTAGAGAATCTCGAAAGCAGCAAGAGAAAAATTGATGTGTCATCTCTAAGCATGCTCCCGTGAGATGAGTAGTGGATTAATCAACACACACCTTCCATGTCAAAAAGAAGTTGGGTGATACAGTCAAAGTACTGAAAGAACAAAAACTTCAAAGCACATATACAATATTCAGCAAAACTGCCCTTCTAAATAATGAAAAAATAAGTATTTATCATCATGAACAGATGCTAAAAGCTGCCACATAAGAAATGTCAAAGGAAGACCCTTTCGTTGACAATGAAATGATCCTAGACAACAATATTAAATTATGTAAAAAAAAATAACTCTGGGAAAGATAACTAAGTACAGCTCTGTGAAATTGTGTATTGTTATAATGATGGTGCATGAAACACTTTGAATCATACTTGAGAGTTCAAAGACAAAAACAGAAAGTTAGCACTCAAACTCTGCTAATGGGTCCACATGTATAATATAACATACAATATAACAAGATGTAA